ACTAGAGAAAAAAAAAATAAAAAAATAAAAAAATCCACTCTCTTATTATTCAGAAGAGCTGGACATGAACCAGTGACCTAGAAAGAAAAGCCTTTATGACTGAGTCTGTGTCCTATCATCCTCCACCTCCTCACTGCCTTTAAGCCATCCAGCTTGCCTGAATTTTTAACAGCGCTTCTAAGAGGAAGTCATAAAGCAGAAAAATGTGACGCTGCACATCATGCTACCAAAAAAATAAAAAATAAAATAAATAATCAATCAGCTGGAGCCAAGGGGCATAGTGCAGGTGGCTTCACAATGACCTGGCTGATCTTCAGCTGCTCTCAAAATCGTTGTCCTGGTTACACTAATCCAGTTAAAGATCAACCCTTCCTTCCCATGAATGTATTAAAATGTGAGTGACAACACTTCATCCCCCAACACTGGCCCTCTAAAAAAACCCAAAGCAGAATCCCTCCTAACACATCCCTCACCAGACACTGCACCAACTGTCAAAACTTTGTGAACCCACTTCCATCTTGGAAAGAAATCAAATTTCTTTCCTTCACCATCACGTTGCTGATCACACACAGTCACTGAAAGGACAGATATAAGCCGACAGAATCAGTCAGGCTGTTCCAGAAGAGTCCAAGACGCTGGACCTCAAAGCTGGCACCCAACCGTTTGCCACGTGGAAAGTCAGCAACCAGGAGGTTTTTACTGCGAGAGTCTCAGTGAAGGTCACATTAAGCTGCAGAGGTCAGAGGGAAGGTGCTGCAGCTGGGAAGAAGAGGAAGACTGATGCTTACAATTTTTATTCACTTTATACTAAGGCCAAAGAGAGCCAGCTAGTCTGCCTGCTTCAGGGAACGTCCTGCCAAGATGGAAAATAAAAGCTCAAGCCTTTCCTACTTTCCGAAGGCAGCAGTCAGTTTGCATCTTTTGCTACCAGATTTGGGAAACTGGCCTATCTGACAGCAGACTAGAACCAGTAGCATTTGAAAGTACAACTCAGGATCTTCATAAAGTCAAATCAGATGCCTAACAGAGAGTAGAAATCATAATGCAAGCATTGTTTGCATCTCTCGGAGTGCGGGTGGCAGAGACAATTAGCCTTTGTCAACACTGAAGCTTAAGTGACAGCAACGTGCCTGGGTTAATTCTAATGATTAGTACAGATACACTGCCCTTATACTTCTTTACAATGTAATTAAACACAAAAAAAAAAAAAAAAGAAAATTGCTTAGCCCACTGCAAATTTCCATGATTCTGAAGAGCCATACGTTGCAGCACCAGAGCATGGGATCTCACATTTTCTTCCCCTTCTCACAGAGGATTAAAGCTGGCACAAACACCAGAAGACTTTCATCATTTTACCTGCCATCACTAACAGCTGATAGCTCTCAGAGGCCTACGTGGGACGAAGGGCTGAGCCTTCACCCCCGCAGGCAGGTGCCTGCGTTGCAAAGCCAGTGCACAGACCTCGGCCTTCAGCAAAGGCAGCCCTGACAGGCGGTCTAACAGATACATAACTATACTTCGGATGGAGGTGAGGTCTGCACAGCTCTGAGAAAACCTTCCCAGGAACCCAACCGCGGACCACCTGCCTGTGCCAGGGCAGAGACGTCTCCCGGGCCAAGAGGTGATACCCAGTGCTTGGAGCTGGCACAGGGACCTCTGACAAAGGGGTCATTTAGAAAAGGTGGCAGAGGAGAGGTCGTAGCCCTCCCTGTTCGTTAACTTCTAGTAATGCACCTGATCACAAGAGACGAAATCCAACAGCCGGAGATCAAGCAGAGCTCAAGAAAATTTCTTTTAGTTGCTTTGTAACTAATTAAAATAATATGTCTAGGATGCTTTTGTCCCCTAAAGGCTTGCAAATTAGATCCCTCTAGAAATAAAGATTTACACTCATACAACTGAGCAATCTCCTGGGAAGGGACAAGAGAGCACACAGCAAAAGCTGCTTTGTGAGAGGAGAAAATGTCACAGACACTTAAGAGGCAAGTAGAAATGCAAGCAGAAAAACTCAGCCCGTATCCTGCAACTAACGCGAAAACCTTCAACAAACAACTTACAAGAGCCTCACTGACCACAGTGGTCAGAGCCTCCACTTTACATCCCATGGAAAAATGACTTGGTAACATCAGGCTGCAGCACCACAGTCTAGTCTGTGCTAGTAAAAGAGCATCTTGAGGGTATGTTTGATACTGTTAAACCCCGCCCTCAAAATATAGTGGACTGGTCAAAGCACTTTTCACAAGTAGATCATCATCCATGCCAGACCTTTTGCTAATAAAACTGTATTTATTTATTAAAAGAAAAGAAAAGTCAAGTAAGTCTTCCTGCAGCACGTTTCTCAAACTTTTACTGACGTTGTTGCACAGAAACACCCTAGTTTATACGGGAGCTTTCAAGACTACAACAAAAGAGCAGGGCAGCACTTTGCCTCACAAGCGGTACCAGCTTCTTGTAGCTGAGGAGAACCAGGACATGAGCAAGCCCCTCCAAGGGCAGCTTGTTAAGAACAAAGTACCTGAACCACAAAAAAATGCAGCAGAACTATTCTTCATTGTTAATGAGTGACTAAACTGACCTTTACCCAAAACGAAGAAAGGGAAAGGTTTTCACGGAGGATCAACAGTGATTTCTGTACCAGGAACAATAAATATTTTTGTAGGTATAGAAGGTGATGCATTTCTTTCCTTGGCTGACGTTAACACTGAGCATGAGAAGCTCTAATCCAAGGCATAACTAGATTTCAACACTTCCCACCAAAATAAGAACAAATGATATTAAACTGAAACCATGAAACGTGCCTGAGGCTTTGCAGAACACAACTCAGGCTTCATCTACTTTGCCTGTTGTAGCTGCTCTGGGATACTTCTTTAATCCAATTGCTTTCACACAACAACAGATTGTCGTACCAGGACACTCATGGGACTTAACCCACGCTAACCATAGGTGCAAATTTACAAGGGACTGGCTGAACTACATTACATCCCTGTAAACACACTTTCATTCACCATGCAAGCAACCTTAACGCAGTTCAGTTAGTTCACTTCAGAAATGAATCAAGCTAAATCAAATCAAGGCTACTTAAGTTCTGAATAAGAGCATCTACATAGGAATTTAATTCAATTTATTCAACCTACTTGAAAGGTTAATTAGATTAATTTTCTTAAGTAACCACACATGGACAGACTTTAAGGATGAGCTCTCAGCAACACTAATATGGCCAATAAAATTTTTGCTAATGACTTAATGGGACCAGCATTAAACCCTAAAAGTTCAGCAAATGGACATTACTTTTCTTCCACTAGCAATAAACAAGAGAAGCATTAAAGGATGAGGAGTCGTCAAAAGGAACCACCAGCTCCCTTCACAAACATGCCATCTACTCTAGACTAGTTGAATCATCAAATCCGTGCTCGTTCTTTTATAAGAATTTAAAAAGCAAACAGATAAACAAAAGGCCAGCGGCAAAGAAAATGAATGTTGGCTGTATTTAGACAAACATTCAGTACTCTCCATAACTGCAATTGACTAAGGTAGAGTTTCTACAGATTTATGTTAGTATCGGAAAGAATAGACTCTGACTTTTATGTTGCATTTTTTAGTCAAAGCAGTTGAAGGACACCTTTAATTAAGCTCAAAGGCACACATGTGAAGCAGAAATCATTCTTTCCCAACAGAGAAGCTGGAGCACAGTCTGGCTGAACTAAAGGTGAACCAGCACACTGAACACACACTAAACTGGCAATCATACACAGCAACTGGAGACGGGCACCCAGCAAGTAAGCAATGTTGCTTACGACCTATCCTTCCCCTGCACAGACCAAGAACACGTGGATTTTGCAGGGTGGAAGAGGCTGCTTGGTGCTCCAACCAGCTCTCTGGAGCTTCACGCAGGGCAAAATCTTCACATAATCCGTGGGCTCAAATCTTTTTAACTAGGACCTCAGCGTTACTGTTCTCCTTCAAATCAGCAAAGCCGTCAACATTCGCAGTTCTGCTCGATACCGTTTCTAGCCTCTGCGCGCAGCTCAGCGCGCAGTCCTAACCCCGCCGAGCAGTAACCGCGAAGGACAGATTTGCACATCCGTAGTCTGAGCGGTCTCCCAGCTATTCTGTGGCAAGGCTTATTGTCCGGGCAAGCACCGGGGGCGAACTCAAAACTTTGGACGCGCTTACAGATGTGCCCGAGCCTCCAGCCCTCCCTCCCCCCGCCACTTCTCATTTTTTCCCTAAACCAAAGGGCACTTCCTTGTTCACTTCCAACCAAAATGCTGATATTTGGAGCAAATTCTCTTAAGCGGAGCCGTAGATGACGTATGCAGACTGTCACAGATCTCCATGAGGCTAAACGCTTCTTTGCTCATTTTCCCTGCTGATCCTGCCCCTTCCCTTGCTTCCTTCCTATTTTATGACCTGTACCAACATCTGCAATAATTTAGGTGCATACAGATAAGACAGTTCCTTAAAAGCCAAAGCAGACTCCCCGCCGCTCATCCCCACCAGCTCGCGCCGCGTTATCTCCCCCGGGCACGGGAGCGGCACCGCGAGGCGCTGACACAGGTCCCCGGAGAGCGCTTTCCACGGCGCTGCCCGGGCGCGCTGCCCCCCGCCCAGAAATTAAAAATAAATAAATTAATTAAATAACTAAAATAACA